AGACGTTGAGGTGATGGCAGATAAAGCTTGGATCGAGGCCCGGCATGTCGTAAGGCGACCATGCGAAGACTTCGATGTTGGCCATCAAAAACTCAACCATCTCGGTCCTCTCTTGGGCAGTAAGGCTGGAACCGAGCAGGAAGAACTTATCCGGCCGCTCTATATCGAGTCGCACCTCAACCAGGTCCTCCACAGCTTTGTCCTCTGCCTTAGTGCCCACATCCTCCAGAACTCCTCAGTCTTCCTATCCTTCTATCATTTGCACAAACCCTTTGGCAGCCCGGCTGCCATTCACCACCACGAAGCACTGTTTGGACATGACTTGATCCCCCCAGATCTCCTCGATTGCCCCCATAGCCAAGGGGATTCTCATCACCTGGTGGTAGGTCGACGCTACAGCTTGCATAGCGTGAAGCCATCCCCTTCCAAGGATAAGGTTGTACGTCGAGGGCACTTGTAGCACCCAAAACTCCACTTGTTTGACCACGGATCCCGCTTTGACCGGCAGGATAATCTTTCCCAAGGGCCACTCTGGTTGCGAGTTGAAACCAACCAGTGGCGAAGTTGCCGGAGCCAAGTCTGTCTCCCGGAGTTTAATCTTCGCAATGCATTATGAATATTGGCTGTCCAAGCACAGTTAATTTTTACCAGATTTCACCTTGAACCACTTATAAAAGAAAGTTAAGTCTTCGATTTTAGTATCCAAACTTTTTTGAGTTTGTGAATGTTAGTTTCAAAATTACTTGATTTTTTATCTTTTTCTTCAGTCTTCCCCCTTTTGATGGCAGGCTGTACCGACAAAACTTCCCTCATATGTTCTGCCTTTTTTATCATGCCCTGGAGTTTGCAAACACGCTCCGGTTCCACGATGCCGTGGATGACATTAATAACTCCTTGTGGTGGTGCGTCTCGGTCATCCTGTCCTCTGGGATCGACCGGAGCCTGATTTGGCTTTACACCGCCATCAATGTAAAGATCTAGGTGCCTGGCCGCGACCAGCTCTTCTAAGTGTTGCCTCAAAGGCAAACAATCCTCAGTCCGGTGGCCTCTCTCCCAGTGAAATGTGCAACGATACCGCGGATTGTAGCCTTTTTGTCCATCGCCCAACTTAGCAGGAAACCGGACATACTCCTCGTCTCGGATTTCACTGAGGATGCGGTAGATCGGAATCTTGAAGACCGTGGTTATGCCAGTCCTTGCCTTCATCCATCTGTTTGCATCCGATACGTCATCTCGGGAGTAGTCATCCCGGTCATTTCGACGTCCTCTACCCCAGTTTTTGCGATTCGAGCCACGGTCCGATTCCTCTGCGCGGTCACTTAAGCGGCTGGACTCTTGCCCAACTGCATGCACTTTGCCTGCTGTCTTCTTGTCTGTTGCTACCGGAGTTGCCTTCACGGTAGATGTCGACGCATCATCCTCGACTCGAATGTGCTCATTGATGCGCTGCATGAGCTGGCCCATGGAGGTCGGTTGGTGCATGGTAAGCGAGTCCCGCAGTCTATATCCGACCGGGAGACCACGCTTGTATTGAGTAATTGCAAGGTTGACCGGGCAATCTAAGATCTCGTTGAAGGTCTCCCAATACCTAGAGTTGTATGCCTTCAATGTGTCGCTCGATTCCATCTTGACACTCAGTAAATGATCGACTTCCTTTGGTGTTTTTGTGTTGGTTTTGAAACGCGTCACAAAGGCTTCGGCCAGCTGATGCCACCGTTGTATGCTCCCTTCCGGCAATCTCTCGAACCACTTCAAGCCCAGCTCGCCTAAACTGGACGGGAAGATTAGGCACATAAGTCCGTCATTTCGCCTATGTCCGGCCATAACCTGTCGGAAGTGGCTCACATGCATATAAGGATCGGTTTTCTCGTCGTAAAACGTGAACTTTGGCTGGTGGAAGCCTGCCGGAAGCGGTGTTGTTTCTACTTCCTGGGCAAAAGGGGTGGCCCTTAGCCTGGCCAAATCTGAATCCACTAGGAGCGGCGCTGCTTGGTGGGGTGGAGGCATTCCGACCTCCTCACTAGCGTGAACCCCGTAGGATAGCCGCTGGAACGCCGGTATCCTCTAAGCTTCACGTCGGCGAGCCCGCTCCGTTAAGACCGCCCATAAATCCTCTAAATGAGCGGAGTGAGAGTACTTCGACGTCGTCGCCGGACATGAGGGCCGGTAAGTGCTATCTTGCGCGCTAGACTTCTCTGCGTGCACGTCGGAATCACCAACCTGATAACTTCTGGTAATAGAAATGGATGGAGTGCGTCGCTGACTCTGACCGCCTGAACGGCGGGATGGGGTGCGCTCACTGTGGTCACCCACCTACACCCTTCCCTTTGACATGCCGCTTGAGCTCCTCCATCTCCGCCGCCATTCGCCGGATGACAGCGTCTTGGTCCCTCAACTTGTGTTCCAGACGTCAGGCATGTGATTCTCTCCGCCACCGATGACCGTCCGGACTTCGTGAATGACCATAACTTCTCCCGCGCTTATCCCGCGCGTTTGCTGATTGTCCTCTGGTGGGTGTCTCCAAGTCTGCCATTGGATGGATGGCGGGAGGTCTTTCTCTCATTCGGGTGAACTCCGGGGTTGCTCCGTCTATAGCTGACAACGGAAACTCTTCGTTGTTCGCCATGGTCGGCGGTCAGACGAGCGTGGAAGACAAGGTTTTATCTGCAAGTTTCCCACAGACGGCGCCAATTGTGCGGGGAGCAAATATTTCAGCAAGCCCGTACTCCTTTCTTCCAAGCTCCGTTTCTGTCCGATCACCTGAAAGCACAATGAGGGTGAGCTACCCAGCGGTGTATGGCCGGAAAACCCCTCCGACGATCTCATTAGCACACACCTTAGGGAGAGGAGAGAGAGTTTGGGTGTAGGAGTTCCTTACAAAAAGTGTTCGTCCCTACGTATGGGGGGCGCAGACATGCTTATATACCCTTCTGCGTCCCAAACTTGCTCCCAATGGTCCCTCGACACGTGACTCTGCTATCCTATCTGTCAGCACGAATCCTGCTGAGCGTCACCTAATCTCAACTGCCCGCTTACTCTGCTGGGAGCTCAGCAGCCGAGCTGCACCATCTTATCCGCCAACGGTCGTGCTATGCTTCATATCCAAGCACTCCACTAGCTAAGCTTAATAAGGACCAGGCTAGGCAACATCTCGACAAAGCCGGGCAAACAGGTACCTTGGCTGACCACGCCTTTCCGGGCGCCGGTCACTTAACTTGACTGGCTTCGCCTTCGTCAAACATGTAGCTCGGTCCAACCAAGCGTTGCCTTAACCGAGCAACTTCTTTCCAAACTGGGCCACACATCCTCGGCCCAACACTCTGTTCGGCCCAAATATGTCCGGCACAACTTTGTCCGGCCCAAATCTGTTCGGCATAACTCTGTATCATTAATCTCCCTCTCAGGCAACAAATTCAATTGTGGTGTGGTGGCGGCGGCGAGAAACAGTGAGATGCGGCAGAGAGGCGGCAGATCTAGCTCTGGCTGGAAGGGAAGAGGAGAAGTAAACTCAAAAACTTCTACCCTAGAGAAAGAAACACCTTACAAGAAGAGAGAGAATGGAAAAGATTTAATTTACAGAAAGTAGAAAAAAAAAAAAGAGGAGGGGAGAGAGGAGGCCGGAGCCCCCTCTCCCTCCCAAACGACAGTCTCACTTAGCAATCCTATGAGAGAAAACTTAGAGAAAGAAAGTAGAGATCTTCCCGTTAAACACTTTCATAATTACATTTTTTTAATTATTTAAAAAAGGCTTCTCTAATTTGAAAGTTCAATACACACACCAAGCCCATATAATAATGTTTCTAGTTTTCTATTTATTTCTTTATTTTTGCTATAAAAAAAACAATATATTTTCATGTAAATTTTTGTAAAAAAAATAAAGAAAACAAATTACATTTTCTTCTTACTCATGAGAATATCTAATGCTTTGCTCAACTAGCCCTTAGTATATATGTTGTCTCCCAACTCTACATAAACAAGATAATTATTGAGTTTAAATATTGTGGATCACTTCAAACAAGAACATAGAATTAAATTTTAGTCAATGAATTCTCTTGATGTTCGAATTCATAGAGTTTCAAAAGAAAATCAAGAACCCTTAGTCAAGTGAGACAACTCAATTGGTTAAACAAATAACCAAAATCGTTGTGAACATGTTAAAAAAAGGGATGCATTACACTATGCTCTCTTTACCAAATGGGGGTTTTGAGGGGAGGAGTGAAAACACTTTGATTTTTTTTATTTTTTTTCTGTTTTTTGAAAACAATTTCCATTGTTGGCAAGGAAAATAGTTACCAAAGATTGATATGCCAGTATTTGATTCCTCTGATCTATCTCCCTCTCTAAAATCATAACCTCACATCAAATGTTGAAAGTCAAACTTATAGTTACACCTAGACAAACCAAAAGTTTAGAGGACACAACCAAAGGAAATTACAACCATACCCAGGTTCCTCTAACTTTGAAATCCTCTCCACGCTCTAGGAACTCGGTCTGACTCAGTCAACCTCTTTTAATTTGCTAGATCACTATGAAGCTTTGTCGCTTTAATCTCCATTCCATTTTACCCAAACAATTCACAAGATGTTAATGCCATGCCATGCCATGCAATATGTAAAGAAGGTTGTTATCAAAACATTTAAGACAAGTTTACCTAAATATGCAAAGATTAATAACACTCAAAACTCTGTTTAGAATTCTTAAAACTATCAAATTATTCATAAATAGAATTTTCATAAATAAAATTCATTCACAATAATATGTTAGTAATATTTTTGCAATTATAAAGTTACAATGAGAATTTTTTTTTTTTTTTACTTGAAATAAAATTTATATACCACAATATTTATATACAAAAATTTTATTTGTATAAAAAAAATGACAAAAATACCCCCACAAGTAACTAATACGTGAGAGAACTTCTGAATGGGAAGGAGCTAAATCCGGGGCCAAATTTCTTTAGCACCTGTACTTTCCATGGAAAATCAAAGTATCTAACCTCAAACTCAAAAGAGGACCCCAACCCCTCTCTCTCTCTCTAAATATATTTCTTCATATCCATCCCCCCCTCCATTCCCTCTCTTCCACTCCCTCAACTTCCTCTTATGTTTTTCACACTAACCATTTTCTCAAAAACCACCAACACCTTTCCATCATCATTTCTCTCATTCCTCAAACATGGCATTGCCTTTTATTCTTCTTCTCTTCCTCTTTCCCTTTCCCTCTCTCTCATTGCTTCCCTCAATTGAATCCAAGCTCACCCTAGACTACTACAACAAAACATGCCCTAAGCTCTTTGACATCATCAAACAAGTCACCATAGACAAGCAAACGGCCTCCCCCACCACTGCTGCAGCCACCCTCCGCCTCTTCTTCCACGACTGCATGCTCGAGGGCTGCGACGCCTCCATCCTCATCGCCTCCAATTTTTTCAATAAGGGCGAACACGACGCCGATATCAACCTTTCCCTCCCCGGGGACGGCTTCGACATCGTAACCCGTGCCAAGACCGCGCTCGAGCTCGAATGCCCCGGTATCGTGTCCTGCGCCGACATCCTCGCCCTAGTGGCCCGCAACCTCGTTACGATGGTTGGCGGGCCCCACTACAAAATCAGGCTAGGGCGGAAAGACGGTTTCATTTCCCAGGCCACGGCAGTGGAAGGCCACATTGCAAGGCCAAATATGTCATTACCACAAATTGTCTCTATGTTTCAGACCAAAGGGCTTTCAATACAAGAACTTGTAACATTGTCTGGTGCACACACCATTGGTTTCTCTCACTGTGACCAATTTGCTAATAGGCTCTTCAATTTCAGCAAAACATCACAGTTTGATCCAACTTACAACCCTAAATATGCAAAAGCATTGCAAAAACTTTGTGCTAATTACACAAAAGACCCTACAATATCAGCTTTTAACGATGTGATGACACCAGGGAAATTCGACAACATGTACTTCTCTAACTTGCAGAAGGGGTTAGGGTTGTTAGCGTCCGATCAAGCCCTGTTGACCGATCCAAGAACGAAGAAGTATGTGGATTTGTACGCCGCAGACCAGAATGCGTTCTTCAATGATTTTGCCCATGTGATGGAGAAGGTTAGCGTGTATAATGTCAAGACGGGGAAAAAGGGAGAGGTGAGGCATAGATGTGATGCTTTCAACAAACTAGATACTCATAATGCAGGCAAATATATGAAGGCATAGTTTTGGATGATCAAAAGGGTTTAGGGTCAATTTTGTTTTTGGTGACAATAGGGCCATGAAATGGTGAAAAAGGTAGTGAAATTTCTCATGTTTCATGTTGGTTACCAAGACAGGATAATATATATGTAGGGTATGTTTGGATCATGGGAAAAAATCAAAAGAAAATGGAATGAAAGAAGTTAAATTGATTTCTTTCGTTTCTCTTTAATTTTTATTTTTATTTTTCCCTCTTTTTCTTCAATAATGATGTTTTAGTAATGTTATTTTGGCTTGTATCGTAGACCAAATGTATGATCGTGGAAATTGTTGTTCACAATGATTTTTACAATTGTTATGGGTCACTTTTTTTAAATTCAATTTTTCTATGTTATGTACTGTGTTCATTTCATCCATGTTCTGTCACATTTTCTTGATCAATCAGTGCTGTAAAATTGTTGAGAAATAAAATCTGAGATAAAGGAATTGAAGCTTTGTTTTGATGTCAAATTTTTTTTAGGATTTTATGAGATAAAAATGGCATCTACTGTTTTTTTGTTGCCATGGTTGCTCTGCCAAAAGAGGATTTTCACCTTCACAGAAAATGTCATCCACATCAAACCAAAAGCGTAAAATCTCAATATGGGTGTTTATGGGTCAGTTCGAGTCAGGTTTATCCTTGACTTGGCAATTGAACCATATGCATCCAGCTAGAAAAATAATCATCCAATATCAACTGACCTGCTATTTGAAATTAATTAAAATCATCGGTTGAGTTGGTTTTTAAAATAATATTTATCTATTCTCAAAGTTATACTTGTGCCTAATGAATTTGATATACAAGATGAATAATTCAAATAATGGAATATGACCTTATCAAAACCTAATAACACGATCTTATCTCCTTGTCAAAAGTTTAAAAAGTCAGTCGGCTATGCACTGCAATCTGACAATGTTAAATGTAAGCCACAAACCTTGAGATGTATGAATGAAATAAAAAAGGAAACCACAAATAAAATTTTATATATATTTTATACAAAGACAGTCATTCTGTATAAAATTTACAAAATTTTGTTTGTATAGCTAAGAAAATTTTGATCAAACAAAAGAGTGGCTTTCAATCTTTCTAATGGGGACCTATTGATTCTAAAAGTAAATCATTCAAACCTTTCATTTCAATTCATAGCAGTTGTATCGAAGAATTTTTAAATTCAAATTCTAATATCCTACTTCACTCGAAATCTTAAGTTAGCAAAATGATTTCACATCCTGAGTTGCGTTCCTGAAGTAGGTCCAAAAAAACACCCATCTAGGATTGGTTTTCAATTATCAAAACAAAAAATCCGATTATTGACAACAAATGGTTTGGAATAGCACAATTTTACATCTACACAGATTTTCCGGAGAAGATCAGATAGAAAGCCTCAAAAAGAACATTAAAAACGATGTGACAAGTCTTGGATATTTTATACAAGAAACAAAAAGGCTACACACGGATAAAACAAATGTTCTCTGCGGAACGAGATTCTCTTAACAACAATAAATAACTGAAATAATTTCATTCGAGATAAATAATGTACACCACAGCTAGCCAAACAATCCCTTACATTTGGGTGGGCAGCAAAAAATATGTCCAGCCCACAAAGCATAGCAACATTCTCCATGTATCTAAGCCCCAAAAGTTACTTACCCAAAAACAAAAAAACCAAGTGTACACCCCCCAAGTGAAGAGTTGAGAGAGAACTCCATGGACAGAATATGAACTTTACAGGAAAGATGCTTGGGAATAATACCAGGTTAAGAACAAGAGAACCACAAAGCACATGAAAAACACAGGAAAGAATTTTACAATAACAAATGAGTATTGATGCTTTTACGGGCTGGACCTAACATTCAGCTTTGTTTACGATTAGGGTTTGCTCCATGAATCCCTTCATTGCAGAATTCTTGCTTACACGGATCTTGAAGTACCAGAACTCATAAGCACAGTATTGAATGAAGATTCATTGCCCCAATGTCGCTGATTTAAGCTTTTTCCCATAAGAGACTAAAAACCTAGAGCACAATAACAATTGTCACCATGGAATACCGAAAGATGTTAATCTATGAAGCACATACACCTCTCCGGAGGTCACGTACATGTGTCGGACACAAACACAAGCCAGACACGTGTCGAACACGCTAGAGGGAATCAGACATGTTAGGGACACTTGGACACACTAGCAACAAGCTGGGGACTGTGTCCTATTTTTGCTTTTTACAAAAAAATAAATAAATAAATAAAATAAAAATAAAAAACATTTGGGCCAAAATAGCATATACCCAATGTTGATAACTTGGATGAGAATAATTTTTTGATATAAAATAAATATATAATATTAAAAAATATGACATAATAACTATATAAATTATATGTTCCACACTCGCCCTTATGTGTTGTGTCTTGCATTTTTTGATTTCGTGTCCACGTGTCAGTGTCAGTGTCTGTGCTACTTAGATGTTACTAAAACAAGGTTATGGTCAAAATTCTCACCCTATTTAGCAAGGCTTCCGCCTGTGCACCTTTAAAGGGATATTGTACCATTTTTTCCTCCTTGGCTTATCTCTCGTCGTAGACTTCTTATCTCTCCCATGACCATCTTCTTTGGCCTCCTTGGACACACTTCTAGTCTTGCTTCGACTACTGCTTCTTTTCATTGGCAGATCAACTGTATACGAGGCGTGAATTTCATTCCTTTGCTTAAGGAGTTCGTCAATCTGCAAAATTAAACATACAACAAGAGTCAACCAATAGATTCAGTGCGTTTCAGAACTACCAACACGATCACTATCAATCATTATCAAACAATATGAAGTTTGTGATGAAGTATTCCAGCATTTGACTCACCACTTGCATTTCTTGCGCATATCGACTGGTCATCTCTGTAAACTGTTGCAAGACCTGTCACCATCCACACGAAAAATAAGCAAAAGTGAAAGAGTTTTTAAAGATGATGTGCACTGCAAATGTTGATGTCCAAACCTCTTTGTATTCAGTTTCAAATTTTGAGAGTTCCACCCTCTTAGATAAAATCTGAGCTTCCACAGCTCTAAGATTCTCCTTCTCTTCTGTAAACGGAGCAGCACAAAGAGCCTCTATGGTGTAGCTTGCACTTCTGAAAAAATTGTCACCTGAAAAACATGCCAGAACCTCATCAGAAAGAGATAGACCCATCTGTTGGGTAATGTGGATGCTGATAAGTACTCAACACTAACCAAACCACTTGACTTTTGGAGCAAGGGTATTTCAGCACTTGTGACTTGTTACATATTTATAATTGTGGGGAGGCAGTTATCTCTAGTAATCTGTTGTAACATTTCTAATCATAGTAAAAGCCGCAGTAGCTAGGAAACAGCACTAGTTTAGAGTGAATCGCGTATCTATGTGATTTATCTTTCTTGTGTGTTTGTTCATTTATGTGCTTCGTTTTTCACTGATCTTGGTTAAGTGTTACGGATTCCAAATAATGCATAGTCAAGAATTATATAACATGTAACTTGAAATATGTCAAAGAGCTTACCATAAACAGCAAACACATGGGTCCCAGCTTTTAATTCAGTTATTTCACATGGCTGAAAACCATCCAATTTTTTGAAGAAGGCCATGTCCGGATCCTTGGCAGCTGCCATCTAAAGCCATCATATCAATAAACCAAAGTCAAAATGATGAATAGAAACTAGTTGGAAGAACAAAATTGATCTAAGGTTTGAGGAGGAATGATCAACTCACAGAGTTAGCTGTTTGATCCAACTGATAAACAGGAAAACCAAGAAAATACATCCCAGCAGATGTAACCTTCCCCGTTTTTGCACTATCCTCCTACACCAAGAAGTCCGATATAAGTTACTGAAACAGCTGTAATAATACTAAATTGAATAAAACATGCTGCAGCATTCCATTTTCCAGGCCTATTGCACCACATCTGAATGAGATGAACCCTAACAGGCCAAGAATGTAATTATGTAATATCCCAGAGGCTTAGAAGATGCACTTCATTAGTGTCCCCCCCATCCACTGCATGTTAGTTGCTTCCTTCATTGGTGTTTTCTTCCCCTGCTTGGATCTCTATGAAAAAACCAAAGAAAAGAAAATTGAAGAAGTGGTTTTCCATTCAAAATTTTTGCATCCTAGTGATCCTTCAAGATCATTATTGGTCTTTCTTCCTCTATTTTTTACATCATAAGACCCGTCAAGCTTTCCCACACCACTTTAAATGCTTCCACCAAGACCACAGGAAAACAGTTGGTGTCCAACCACCCAATGAAGGTGACAAAATCCCTTCATGCGTTGCATAAGTCAAGGCTCCATCATGCATGTCAAATATTCGTGCCAAAATCAAGTTGACACCTCTTTGGTTTCTAAAAAACCATCACATCAACTCTCTCATACCAATATAAACATCATATTGAGGCCCTTTATACTATTCCCATGACATCTCAGTCACTTTCAGTGAGAAAAAAAAATTATTTAATAAAATTTCCAACAAAATAAATGGATTCATGAACTCTCTTTTTATGTCTCATCATCAAGTTTAACATCATAGATGCTCATGATCTTATATGAGATATGTTTGGTAGGGAGGATGGAAAGTGGAAGGGAAGGGAATGTAGGAGGGAAAGGATTGGAAGATCTGTCCAAGTTGTTTTGGTAGAGTAGAAGAAGAAGAGGAGGGGGATTTTTTTAGATTGATTTGATATTATACCCTCAATGACCATAAGGACGAGACAAAAATTAAGGACAATTTTGTAACTTCAAAACCTTTGAAAAAACAGACCAGCCTTTCTCTCACCTCATCCATCTGTTTTTGGATGGATGTTTTATCTTGTGCCATCATGCATCACTACAGAATCCCAAATCCGCCCTTTTTCCCTTCCCTTCCCTTCTGCCTTCTCTACCAAAAACTGAATCAGCCTCCTTCCCCTTTTCCCACCACCCTTTCCTTCCTCACCACCTACCACCCAGCCAAACATAGTGAAAATAAAGAATCATATCATAACTCGTCCACTTGGCTCAAATCTCCAGTGAAATAATGAGAAGGGGACTGTACTAAGGGGTCGTTTGGCAATGTTGACTTTTTGGCTTTTTTGACTTTTTTAGCCTGGAACTTTTTTGTTTGTTTGGTTTTCTTGTTTGGCCTTTTTGCATTGGAATGACAAAATTGCCCTCAACTTGGGAATGATGCTTTTTTGACTTTTTGTTTGTATATGGATTAGTTTGGTAATTTTGCATCCTAAATCAAGTGTTTTGTCATTTTGTGACTTTTTTTTGTCCTTATGTGCTTATTTAGTCCCAACATGAAAACCAAACCAAGGCTAAATTATATCAGTTATTTCCACATTAACAAGAATCCACAACTGACGAAAGGACAAAAAAAACTTTATACCTGGAGTGCAAGACTTAATCCACCACTTTCCTCATGATCAAAGTACAGTAGCTGCACAAGCCTCAAGCCTATTAGTAAACCCAATGGTGGAAACTTGTTAACATATCTAAATAAAAATTATAAAACTACAGTGTAATCAATTCCTCAAAACATATATTCAGCTGACAGTCAAATAGTTTTTGAATCTGCATGAAAAACTAGAAGAAAAAATGCGCGTAGGAACTTTAACTGTAAAGTATTTGGATAAAATAACAAAGATTTATTGATGCATGTTTAATACTGAAAATGAAAATGTAATGTCAAATCAATTCAAATTAAAGATAGAACACTTCTATATTATGTAAGGCCTTCAAAGTAACTCTTTTTTTTTTCTTCATCGTAGAACTTTTCAAAAACAATTGGGTATAAAGAGGATAAAATCTGTGATGAAATGAAAATGACCTACCAACAGAAATAAGTTTGGACAAGTTAATTTATGTGTCAAAGAAGGAAGAGATGAAGAAAGAGAACTTAGAATTTAAGTTTGAACAAGTGAACTTATTTATTGACCAAGACTCCTCCAGTATTATAAATATTAATGACTTTCACAACTCTAAAATTTAAATAGCTGCACCTTCCGCAACGAACATACAGATTACTTAACATTCTTGTACAAACCTTGAATTTGCTTTTGTCTGGTGATTGGGCACGGCACACAAATCCAGATCGTGCCTCCTCCTCTGTTATGGTAACAGCATAAAAATGAGCGCATTGTTTTTCAACCTGTTAAATAGTGCCAAATACCCATATAAGCATACCACATTTAAGTTTAACATATGAACCACAACAAAGCTGTCTAACATTACAATAACAACAAAAACAAAAACCAACCTTTCTAAACGCGCGTTGTCCTAGTGGAAGTGGATGAATTGTTACTGTGCCATGTAGTGCCTCCTCCAAGACAGTTGCTGATACAGTTGTTTTGATTGGCACACCAAGTTTACTACATGTAGTACAATAAGAACATAACAGACCCTATTATCTGTAGCATAGGGCTCATGTTTATCATGAAAGAATGAATCTATGGGCAAATGAAAAGATGAAGAATGATATAAAGACATAACATTATGCACTTACCTAAAAAGTGCAGCAAAGATGGTGTTCACAGCACCTAAACTTGAAAGATCTAACTCCAAATCTTGGCTCTCTGATTCAACAGCCTGCCCAAAGGACACTCAAGTCACATTTAGCACCATATCAGAACATTTACTAGGGGGAAAAAAGGATAGAACATACATAAAATTGAAACTAATTTCTAATAATTGAAACAAATCGATGACTGAAAATTGCTGAAACAGAAGTGAGCATTTACCTCAAACCCAGCTGTGTCATACTGATGTCGTTTATCAGGATCAGATAAAATATTGTAAGAAAAAGTGACCTCCTTAAATATATCAGCTGCTTTAGGGTCATTTGCATTCTTATCAGGATGGTACCTGAAATTGTATGATATTAGCATCATTAACTTTTTATCTGCCTGATAAAAAATATATAAACTGCCTATCATGCATCATGCATGCGCAGGCTTGTGAGAAAGAGAGAGAGATGCAGTAACATCTTCAACACAACGCAAGATGAGTGGTTTGCTAACTATTAACAAAAACTTCCCAAATAGACAAATACTACAACTCAACAGAGTTAGCAACCAACTTTTTTTTTTTTTTTTTTCCCTGATAAATAGAGATAGCAACCACCTTAAATTTAAGATTCCAGCAGATAATAGCAATGTTAAGTGTACCATATGATTTGTATAGGATATATATTTAAAAGTATTTTCGGTGATTTTTCTATTTAACAAGGGTGGAGAATTAAACCCAAAAACAATTAGCAAAAAACAAAAACTGAAGTTTCCAACTGAATCCAATTTAATAATCAGTGGTCAGAGATCTACCATTAGGATTGATTAGTGAAAAACCAAGGCGCACACGATTTTACAAACCAATTTCTTAAATTTGGAAGATGTAATAATGTCAGGGCTAAAGCGAATAAAAGATATAAAAGTGACCACAGGAAAGCAGGATTCAGGGCAAGAAGAACATAGAGCATATCATATGTAAATACTAGATTGAAGGTTACTACAATGAACAGCCACCATGACACCAAATCCCTAATGCTGTGTTATTCTTTATTTTCCATCTAGATTCCATTTAGTTGTTATCAAAAGGGTAAGGGAAAAAAAATTCAAATCTCAAGTTTTTACATCATCTAGGACCCGAGGAAACAAACCAAAAAACCCAACTGACCCAAATAAAATTTGTTCTTATTATTTATCCCAATAATATATATATATATAAAAAAAAGGGCGACTTTGTTCTTCATTTGGAAACCAAAACAATGTCAAACGATACGGGTTAGTATTGTAAATTCGTCCTTCAAAGTTTCTTCTTTTTCCAAAAAGAGGGAAAACTAAATTTGAAAATGTGCCAACGTCTCAGAATCAGCTACAATGTGAAGATCTCAAAAATTGTTAAATAATTCTCAACACTGATCTATGCAATGTCATAACAAAAAAAAATCCTAACCTAGACAAAAATTTCAACTTTGAATACAAAACCAAACCAATCATTAGAAAATAGCGGGGAAAAAAAGGTACTTGAGAGCCATTTATTGTAAATTCGTCCTTCAAAGTTTCTTCTTTTTCCAAAAAGAGGGAAAACTAAATTTGAAAATGTGCCAACGTCTCAGAATCAGCTACAATGTGAAGATCTCAAAAATTGTTAAATAATTCTCAACACTGATCTATGCAATGTCATAACAAAAAAAAAATCCAAACCTAGACAAAAATTTCAACTTTGAATACAAAACCAAACCAATCATTAGAAAATAGCGTGGAAAAAAAGGTACTTGAGAGCCATTTTTCGATAAGCGCTTTTGATTTCCTGATCTGTGGAGTTCCTTGAGACGCCGAGAACGTCATAGGGGTCTCGACGAAGCTGCTTCGCCACATCATGTTTCTCCGATTTCGATCTGTGAGCCGGCATTTTCGTTTCACAGCTGAGGAACCCCAAAAAAAAAATCAAAACCTTGAACAAGAAAAAAAACTCACGAAGTTCGAAATCTCACATGAATTCGCGAACCTGATTCAGAATCTACAAAGGTCGGTTTTTCTGAAAAACTTTCCCGGAAAGTCGTTGTTAGTAAGAAAATTGGAAAAACCCTAAAATGGGAGGAGAGTGAAAGACTCCTCCATGGGACCTCCAAGCTGGAGCTTCGGAGGAGAGAGAAGATGTGGAGAGAGAGAGAGAGAACAAGAGGGGCGAGAAATTGGAGGGGAAATTAGGTGGCGTTTTTTAGTATATTATACTATTAGTATATTATACATCTCTTCGCTGTCTTATATCCTACGCACGGGGCGTATTGCGCAATGCTGTTGTCAAACAGTCCTCTCTGGCTTGGGAAAAATTATACGGTAGTATAGAGAATCGAAAATGCTAGGTAGCTCAAATTTTTGTGGTTCAAATGGTTCAAATCTGTCAAAACGACGTCGTTTTGACAGATTTTGAGTGTAAAACGACGTCGTTTTGACAGATTTGAGCCATTTGAGCCATAAAAATTTAAGCTACCAAACATTTTCCATAGAGAATTTAGGCCTATTAGGGATAAAGGAACTATTTTAAGCTTTAGTATGTCTAATCTAGTTGGGTTAAAGTAGCATAAAAGATAACATAAATTAAATAAGTCAATAAAATAAAATATTATATTTAAATTATAATTATTTTATTTATTTTTTATAAAAATTAAAAAAATTAAATCAAACAAATTTTTTAATTTCAAATTAAAAAAGTCTCAATTCAAAAAAATTAACTTAAAAAATCAAAGTCAAAGGGTAACTAAATTTTAAATTTACTTGAGAGGGAGCGGTGGAAAACCCAATGCTCAAGGAAGATCATAGGCATTATCAATGGTTAAAAGGTGAAACATTGAAGTGGGAATGAAATATGGGAGAATTGAAAGTGAAGCGGATGGTGTATAATGCGCACCACGGGGCATAGAAGAGTGGGGACCATTTTAGAATTTGAAAAACTTGAGGGGGAATAGTGGGAAACCCAGACCTCAAGCAAAGGCAAAACGCTGAAATGCCAATCAATGGAACTGAGAGACTTGAGATTGAACCAGCAAACTTGACCTAGTGACATTGATGAGGGCATTATGGTTTTCAATTATTTAGGAGTATCAATGGGGTAATATTTTTTTTTAGCAATAATTATGGGTCCTTTGTCCGAATCATTATGGCTTGATATCTTTGTTGACTAATTTGCCTTTCAATATGGGAGTTTTTTTTTTTTTCCTTTTCTTTTAATATTTGTGCCTCAATTGAAAGTATCTCAAAAAATTAATTTTTACTTAAAAAACTTAAAATTTTAAAAAATTAATAAAAGTATTTATTATCAGCTAAAAATATTAAGGGATTGTTTAGAAAATGCTAAATTAATATACTTTTTGACTTTTTAAGAAAAAATGTGAAATATGAATTGAATTTGAAGTGATGTGGTAAAGAGATAATATAACTTAAATAAGATGATTATGACCTAAATAAGATAATGTGTTTGCCAAACAACCACTAAATATCATTAGAAAAATCAATCTCAAGTCTTTTACTACTTTTACAAATTCAAGAACATGAAATAAAAATATTCTTTTATTAATTACCCATCTTTATTCTCTATTTTTCAAAATTAATTCAAACGGTTTTAAACAAATGTTTTGTTTATATATTGTTACTAATTTTCTTATGTGTTTGTTAGGTAAGAGCATCTCCAACGGTTCAATATTTTTTTACCAAATTTGAGTAAAAAATGGCTCATTTTTTCAATCTGATATCAGTTACTCTAACGGTGCATAAAAAAGAAGAATCATGTCGCGGGTCAACCGGTTGGTCGACCGATAAGGCAATTTTTTTTTTTACCTTTCTGAACTGTTTGAACCTACCAATTTTTGAACCATTTGCTGAAGCTGGTCGACCGGTTGGTCAACCGGGTGGTCGACCAGAGGGTCGACTAGGTGGACATCCAGGTGGTCGACCACCATCTGTAAAATTTTGACAAATTTCTGCTTTAACGGCTATGCACAGTGTATTGGTGAAAGGAGCAACTTGTTCTCACTTTGATGAATTATTTGCTGAATTCTCATTTTGATACTTGTTTGCTGAAACCATTGGAGCACCAAAAAGTGACTTTTTCACCAAAATTCAAATCTGATGCCAAATTTGATGAAGCGTTGGAGATGGTCTAAGGATTGTGTTTGAAACGTTTTAACATAATAATATATTTTATTTTATTTTTTAATTCAACAGTTAGAGGTGTTTAGATCAGCTTATGTATATCTAAACTAATCTCCTCTCTGGTTCGGTCAAAAGTAAGCCATCCACACCGGAATTAGATAATTCACAAGAAATTACTCTCTCGTAACCTAACTCCAAGAATCAAATCCTGAACACAATTCACTAAGCACAACATTACTTCAATAATAAATAGATAAGATTTATAATGTTAGTGCTCCTCACATTATTGTTAATAAATAATATTAGTAAATACTATAAAAAAAATGTATTAGTTTTGGAATTTGCATATTATATGAAAAATGTATTACAACATTGTGGGTGTTGATTTCCGACCACACTGTTAAACAGGAACTCAGCAGGAGAGCTCATGCAGAATAGATCACGCCCGAATAACCTGTCACAGAAAAGAAAAGACTCCGGTGGTGGTTCGTCTACCCGGGGCACTCCGACGATCAAGTTAGTACTCAGTTATCTCTCAAAGATAGCAAATAGTGCTTAACTCACAAACCAAGATACAAAGAGCGTCCCTTAGACTCACGAGGGTGCCTTACTTTTATAGCCAACACTAACTTGATCCCTGTAGAAACCTGGCTTCAATAGACTTTGGCTCAATATTCATCTAGGACTCCCAGCCGAATAGAGATAAATTCCTTAAGAGCTTTATCTTTATCCATATTAAGGTCCTTCCCAGTTCTAGGACTCTTGTCCCTTATCCGTTTATCTCGAATTCCGGTACCTCCGCAGATCGGAATGGAACTAGGATTTCATCATTGGAGGGGCCAAAAGAAAAATAAATTTTTGTACTATATACATATGCACACATGTATGTACCATATGATATATAAATTATGTATAAACACAAAAAAATTCAAATACCACAGAAGTAATTTCTAATAGGATAAAGTTTTTTTGGTACAAAATAAAAAGAGAGCGCAAGATACGAGAAAAATGAGATATATATTTTTTATATTGGGGTCATTTTATGTATAAAATGAAATATATTTTTAAAATACCATGTCAAACCATATTTTTCACATAAACTGGGGGGCCATGGCCCTCCATAGTCTTCTCCTAGTTCCATCTCTGTTCGCAGATAACCTCGGCGTCGGCTTTTCCTTCGCCACGTGTTGTCATTCACAAAATATGTCCCTACAACTGTCTCCTAGGTTCTATTACCTCAACATCTTGAGGTGATGAAACCTATATCATTTGTTCACATAGCACGTCGATTAAGATTTACTTTATTCTCTACGACTGAGATCATCACTCGTCGGCTTCATACAACCAAGACTTTGCAGTCCACTTAATCAATGGTCAAGAACTAAGAACCAAGCTCTTCAAGTTCCTTCACTAGGATCGTTCCTCTGGCCGAGGTTCTTGTTTCACTAAATTAAGAACTCCCAGAGTTCTATCTACGCATAAGCTGTCACGCATGATTTTCTCAACCGTTTCATCCACGCGTCCTTCTCTCATTGATTCGTACCTAACACGCGCCATCAGGTCATGTCGCTTCTGTGCACGCCGTCTAACAGACACGTCGTCCAAGGCATATCATTTATGGTTTGTCGCTTTTTCGCGTTTTAACAAAACTTCTCTCTCTCTCTCCGTCTCTTCACTTTTGCAAAAATAATCTCTCTCTCCGCTCAGAGCCTTTCTTTCTAAAAATTTCCCAAACCGCCATTTTCGTGCTCCGAAGCTCCAACAACTACTTCAATCATCTCCTCCAACGAGCTTTCGACTGCCTTGTTCCGTTCAAGTTCTTTGACTCCAGCATTCTCGCTCTCGGCCTCATTTGTTAAATTTCTAATCTCTTCTCTCTTTTAGTTCAACTTTTCACTATTCGTATGCGTAATACTTTCATGAATCTGTTTGTTCGCATCTTGCTACTTAAATTCCTCATTTCGATTGCCATATTTAATCATTTGTAAATTAGTTTTTGTGCCGTCTTCATATTGCTTATGCTGCTTTACTTTTGTGCTACTTATGATTAAATATTGCCATATTTAATCATTTGCTGCTTTACTTTTGTGCCTTAAGCTGCTTTACTTTTGTGCCGTCTTCATATTGCTTATGCTGTCACTAAATAGTTGTATTCTATTTTTCTGCGTTTTTCTCACATTTCTAGATATCATGAGTCAGTTTCTTGTTCTTCAATGAAGTTCTATCATTGCGTTTCTTGAATGTTTTTTGCACTGTTTTTGCTAAACTTCTGTTTGGTCTGAGTCTTGATTGTTGTTTTGTCTCTGAATCCTTCTTGGTTTTGAATCATGTTCATCTTTCTATTTTTCTTACTTATTGCCAGATTCTTGCCATTTATTCGTGTTTCCATATAAATTTAGGCTTGGATTTTGATAGAGAAATCGCATACTTAGAAAAAAACTGAACCAAAGCCTCCTTTAGATCTGAAAAAAAAAACCTAGAAGCTGCCAATTTAGGGTTTAGCCAAGGTATTCAAACCTATTCCGCTCATTCTTTCCCAAATCTTGTCCCAACTGTTACTAATCTGACATCATGGGGATGTTCAGGTAGAGGGTAGACACCCCAGAAAAACTTGAGTACTTTAGGAGAGAGTTCTCCATCCCAGTCGACGTCCATTTGAGGTTAGCTAGGGAGGAGGACTCCATCATGCCTAACGGAGACTTCATGCCCTTTCCCGTTGTTGCATTCATCGAATGCGAACTTCGATTTCCCCTTAATACTCTTTTTCGAGAAGTCTTCCATTACTACAAACTTAACCCCATGCAATTCACCATAAACTCCTATAAGGTCATAAATGGCATAATTGAACTAGCACACCGAGAAAAAGCTAGGATTACCTTAGCCGATACCCAATTCTGCTAGACCATGTGTGGCCATAAATCTGAAAAAGGCTACATATACTACCTCAAGCCTAGATCCACAGCCTTCAAACTAATAGCCGACCTCTTAGACTCCAACAAGGGTGCTGGAGATGATTACTTCATCATCTCGGACAATTGGGAGTTTTCACCTGATGACACCCTCCATCTCTATTCTCT